TTTTTTTTTTTTCTGAGATGGAGCCTTGCTCTGTAACCCAGGCTGGAGTGCAGTGGCGCCATTTTGGCTCACTGCAACCTCTGACTCCTGGGTTCAAGCAACTTTCTTTCCTGCCTTAACCTCCTAAGTAGCTGAGACTACAGGTGTGTGTCACCATGCCTGGCTAATTTGTGTATTTTTATTAGAGATAGGGTTTCACCATATTGGCCAGGCTGGTCAATATTCTGACCTCAGTGATGCCCCCACCTCAGCCTCCCAAAGTGCTGGGATTACAGGCGTAAGACCCCACACCTGGCTGTCTTGGATGTCTTTCTAAGGAAGGTGAAAATCTTCTATCCAACCCAGAAGACACTATGGGCACGGCTAAGGCGTTATGCAGTGTTTTGTTTCTAGGTACTGCTAAAGTGCCCTTCCAACATGCTGCCGTGATTTTAATTATGTATATGTGTTCATCCTGAAATATATACATTTTGGAATATATGTGGAATGGAATTCAGATTTTAAAGAGACAGAAAGACTATGAATTTTAAGATCTCCTTCTTCCTGTCCCAGGTGTTCATTTGATACCTAGACATATGTATGGATGGCAGTATCTAGAGAGTACCTAGGCAGTAAAATGGAGGAATAAAAAATGATCAGTCTGGGCCGGGTGCAGTGGCTCACGCCTGTAATCCCAGCACTTTGGGAGGCCGAGGCAGGTGGATCACAAGGTCTAGAGATGGAGACCATCCTGGCCAACATGGTGAAACCCCGTCTCTACTAAAAATACAAAAATTAGCTGGGTGTAGTGTCAAGCTCCTATAATCCCAGCTACTCAGGAGGCTGAGGCAGGAGAATCACTTGAACCCGGGAAATGGAGGTTGCAGTGAACGGAGATCATGCCAGTGCACTTCAGTCTGGCGAAAGAGTGAGACTCTCTCCCAAAAAGAAAATCAGAATGGAAGGACAGATCTGGTTGGATGCAAATCTCATCTCTGCCACTCACTAGCTGCGCTACCTTAAACAAATTCATTAAACACTCTAAGCCTCATTTTCCTCAACGAAGATGGTAAAAGCTTCTCTTTCATAACTTCATTGTGAAGTTCAGTGAGCTGATGCATGAAGAATAGAACGCTTAGCATAGAGCCAAGAACATAACACCCAGAAATGCCAGCTCTTCTTCTCAGAAATCCAGATGCAAACCTAAATTCTGGTTGGAAATATGTTGACCATCTGAGACAGTATTTATACTCTTTTGTTGGAGACCCCCTGTTTCCTCAGTGTGAATCCCCTCAAAACTTGTTCACTGTCCCCAAAATCTCATGTGTGGCTGCTCAAACCAAGGAGAACCCCTGGTTGCCATGGCATGCATTTATCCTGTGAGCATGCTTAATGATCTCGTTCTCCAGGTCCCTGGAGAACAATGTAAGACTAGTGAGCTTGTTAACAAGAGTGCCAAGCTGGTAAGGATGGGCTGCCCCATGTATTTGCTTTAGTTACAAAGTTGGGTGGGGAAATGAAATTGCTGAAAACTCAGGACACTCCTAGAGAATGCTCATGGCAGCAGATTTTCCATTCTCACATGCAATTGCTTCCACCTCTAGGGCATAACAAAACCTTCTAGAGACTTCTTTTTATGTAAGGAGGTAGTAGAATGTAGTCAGTATATGTGTTGAGGTGGGGGGCAGTATATGCCTTGGGTTGGATGCTGCTAGCTGAGAAACTGGACAAATTATTGGACCGCCGTACACCTCAGTTTTCTCCTCTGTAAAATGGAAATATTAATAGCATCCATCTCACTTGTGTTTTGAGGATTAATTGAGGTAAAGACTATAGGCTGGATGTGGTGGCTCACACTGGTAATCCCAGCTCTTTGGGAGTTCGAGGTGGGAGGATCACCTGAGGTCAGGAGTTCAAGACTAGCCTGGCCAACACATGGTGAAACTCCATCTCTATTAAAAAAAAAAGAGAGAGAGAGAGAGAAAGAGATAAAGACTATAAAGTGCCTGGCATATAGTAAGCAATTAGTAAGTACACTTATCATCAGCACCATCTTCATAATTACTACCTAGCTCGTGGTATTGTTGGGTGTAGAATATAAGCTCTGCAAAGCAATCAGCCTTCTGCCCAACATTGGAATGCTATTAATGGTGGAGATTAGAATGTTTTCTGCTGTGAATATCAACTACAGAAGTGAATTATTCTTCTTGAAGCTCTCCAAGGGCTTGCCACATTCTGTAAGGTCTCTGGTTTGCTCTCTACAGCTTGTCCTCACCCTATGAAAGGATGATTTCCTGCGGCAGACACCATTGGTGGCCACCCCCACTGAGTCCCCCTTGTTCCTTGTAAACAGAACATGAATTTTGCTTAGGCAGCCACGTGCCTAGCCCCAGGGTAAAAAAGCCTGATTAATGCAAGCCATTTACGGTAGCCTCATTTGGCTTTACCTTAGTTGGTCTAGGCAAGGGCATGTGAATGCATTCTGGCCAATGAGACATAAGGGAAACTGTCATCATAAAAGTAGAGAGGAGCGTGAGGTGAACCTCATTTTGGTCCCTGCCCTCTTCCTCCCTGCTTTAGCAATTGTCATGGGATGCTTGGAGCTGCAAGCTGCTATTTTGGGACCATGAGGGAGATACAAGCATGAGGACAAAAGCCAACACTGTTAAGATGGCAGAGCAGAAAAATAGGAAGAGTCTAGATTCTTAATGACATTGCTAAGCTGCCAAATCAACTTGGAGGCTGCTGGTCTCCAGACCTCTTTCTTAGCATATAATAACATTCTTATGATTTGGACTACTGTTAGAAATATGGTTTTCTGCTAATTAATCAATCAGTATAGTCCTTTCTGTTTGCCAAGCTTGGAAAATGACTGCTATTCAAATTCTGCTGAGATATAAAGATATTCTGTTCTTATTTTCTTCCTCTACATTTGGGTAGTCAAGTGTCTTCAGATAAAGTCCACCCTCACCATTAAAGTGAAACTGTTGTTGAAAAGGTCATCAATGACCTCTTGATGGCATGTCCAGCAGCTCCATCTGATTTCGCATTCTGCTGAATCTCTGTTCCATTGGACAGCTTGACCATGTTCTCATTCCTAAAGTGAATCCTTCCCTTGGTGGGCCTCACTGTTCTTTCTTTCTAATTCTCTGGCCCCTTCTGTGGTCCCTTCTTTCTGCCTCCTCACCTACCTATGAATCCCGACATTCTGCCCTTTGCCTTCCCTTCTTTCACTCAGTGCTTTCTAAGACTCTGGTTAGCAACTGTGGATGCTAGCGACGGTCTCATTCATATTGCCCAGGCAGATCTTTTTGCAGCACCAGATGTGAGCAGAACATGCCCAATTGGATGTCCTCATAGGACTGTCAACACTGCATTTCCTAAACTGAACTGTGTCCCTTTACAAATTACTTCTCTATAACACACTGCACCACTCATACTAGCCCACAGCTAGCAATCCCAGAGTCATCCTAAGCAATTCCTTCTCTTCCAACATCCAATTAATCACCAAGTATAAAAATTTCTCTATTCTCAGGAGTCTATTGCAGCTTCCCCACATTCACTGCAGCAGCCTCCATTTATCATTTCTATAGTGTACAAGGTTTCACCTGCCTCCAATCTCTCCCCTCTCCAATCATCTGCATTGCTGGTAGAGTGGGTTTTCTAAAAGCAAATTGAATCATCTCACTGGCTTAAAAAATGTCCAAGAGGGTATGTGTGTGTGTGAGAGGATATGGTGTGGAGACTGTATTAGCCATCATGCCCTCCAAATAAAGTCCACATTTCATAGCACAGCATCGAAGGCCCTCTAGTCTCTCTGAGTACACACTGATTTTTGTATTTCTTCTCCTATGACCTCCTCTCACTGTCCCTGTATCCTGAGCTCAAGCGCCTGTGAATTCCTCTTTCCTTTCACTGTTTCCTCTGGTTAGATGGTAGACATCAATTCCCAGCACTCTGAACTCCTGGCGTCATTCAGTTCTCAAGTCAAACTGCACTTCTTCCCCAAAGCATTACCTGGCCCTAGGACCAGACCTGAGTTTCTCAACCTCAGCACTATTGGCCTTTAAGGTTGGATAATTCTTTTTGTGGGGGGCTAATCTGTGCCTTGTAGATGTCTAGCAACATCTCTGGCTTCTACTTACTATATGCCAGTAGCAATCCTGCCCACCCGTATGACAGCCAAAAATGTCTTCAGACCCTGTAAATGTCACTTGTGGCAGGTAACTTCCCCCAGTAGAGAACTAGACCAGATCTCCTTCTTATCATCCATAACTTCCTGGTCTTCCTTGATCACAACATTTATGGCATATTTTTATTTTATTTATTTTATTTTTTGAGAGAGAGTCTCGCTCTGTCACCAGGCTGGACTGCAGTGGTATGACCTCAGCTCATTGCAACCTCTGCCTCCTGGATTCAAGCGATTCTCCTGCCTCAGCCTCCCAAGTAGCTGGGATTACAGGCACCCACCACCATGCCTCACTAATTTTTGTGTTTTTTAGTAGAGACATTGTTTCATCATGTTGGCCAAGCTGATACTGAACTTTTGACCTCAAGCGATCTGCCCACCTCAGCCTCCCAAAGTGCTGGGATTGCATGTATAAGCCACCGCACCCAGCTCATGGCATGTTTTTGAAGTGACTTGTCTGATTGTCTCATCTGCTCCCACAAGTTGTTATCTAGGAGGGCATCTCCCAGGGCATGGCACCCACTAGGCGTGCATTCTAGTTTCATAGAAGAGTGGGCTCTGTTATGGGAGCAACTTCATCTGTCATCTTCATCATTGTATCTCTAGGGACCAGGGTGGTGCTGGCACATAAGCGGTGCTCAGCAAGTATGTGTTGAATGAAGGAATGATTGAATGCTCCCATTCAAACACTTCTATCTCTCTAACAGAAGTATCCTAGTCAGGGCTTTGTGTCTTGTCTTCTCTTCCCCCATAATAGATCACACGTGGCCCTGTTCTCCAGTACTTAGTACACTGGATAACAATGACAATCAAGATAATAGGTGAAATCATGTTTGTGGGAAAAAAAATGATGCTCTATCTTGAGGCCTCTTTCTAAAAACAAAAACCAAGTCCAGTGCTGTGCCCAGCAACCTCATGGTCTATCTTGTCCCTCCACTGCCATGCCTGCTGTGCCCCTGGCAGCTCTCAACCACACCTGCCACACACAAATTCACCCTAAGTGGAGGAATCACTCAGGGCTGCTGAGATTTGAAGGCTCACTCCCACTCCAAAGCGTGATTATGCCTCACTCTTTGCTGACTGTAGCCCAGCCCCCTGCACTGCGTTCAGCCAGGGGATGAGTACACAGAGCTCACTCGCAAGGCTCTCCTGGAATGGGAACAGTCCTCTCTGCAATGTGCCCTCCACCTGATGACCTGAAATGAAGAGGCCAGTGAGGGCTCCATGAAGGCAGTCATGATACAATTCAAGCAAGCAAACATTTAAAACGGCTGGTGGAAAGAAAATCCGCCTGCTAGGGAGAAGAGTTCCGTACTCAGATTAGAGTTGAGTAGCTCTTCATGCACAGTAGTTGGTGAATACGCACCCTTTGCATGCATCCTTTAGTCACAAAGCCTGTGGAGAGAAGATGCCATAGTTAATACTTAAATTTGGCATCCAATCTTCCACATAAATAACAGCACAGAAGTCTGGTGTTTGGTTTAAGGCTAGCTCTGCTTAGACAGCCTGCCCAGGTGCAGACACACACTCTGGACCTTTGAACTCTGTGTGTAGCAATCCAGATGTTTGGTCAAGGTGATGAACTCGGGTCACTGACGGTGAGAGAGTATGTGCTGCTCTCTTCTAGCATCTTCCACAGGGAGCCCTGGACAGTAGGCCTGGCCACAAGCCCACTTTCTTCGCCAGAGTCAAGAAACAGTAGCAGCTGCAGTTGTTGCTAGGGATGAGGGATCATCCACTTGGGAGTTGAGATAGCTAGGAGGGGGAGGTGGGTAGCAGGAAGGAGGTCATGAAATTGACCGTGCTTAGCTGCTGCCCACATTTGGATTACTCGGAGAGTCTGCAATGGGGAAAATATTAGGCTTTTAATGACAGCCCTGACAAACACGATCCGTATGACCAAATCAGTGTGAAAAGCAACTGCTATCATTTATTAAGGGAGGATTTGCCAAGTTGCACAGTTCTCTTAGTTTTTCTAGTCCCACACTTTGCCTCGAACACGTGCACAGAGCAAGGGGTTTGAACTTTCTGAATTTCACACAAAGCACATACGTTGTTTGGCTTTTGTTTTGTTTGTGTTTTTGCAAAATATGTTACATAAAAAAAAGCATATATCAATAAAATGGTAAACACAAAACTTCCAAAAGTATGTAACATATGAAAGGAAACAACCACCTTCGCTTTATCCACAAAAAATTTTTAAAAGATGAAGAGGAGCCATTTTCATTCACAGATTGTGGAATCCTACTGTTTACTGCTCTGTAAATGAATGTTTTTGAGGCATGACTTCAATGGGAATTCTCAAAACGAAGCAGCTCCTGGCATAGCAAAGAGAACACTGACAATGGCAGCCAGGGGGCTTGGATTCCGGGCTTGACCGCTGACCCTTGCTTCCTGGCTTCCAGCCCCAGCACTCCACTCAAAGTGTTCTTGTCAAGGGTACCGGTGACCTTCTAATTGCTAAATCCAAAGGGCATTTTTCAGCCCTCTTCTGACCTGACCTCTCTTCAGCCAGATGACATAATTGCCCACTCTTTCCTCCTTGAAGTTCTCTTACCCTGTGGCTTCAATGACACCATCCCACCCTGGCTATCTTCCAGCTTTCTCCATCACTCCTTCTAAGACCCTCTCCTAGGCTGTTTCTCTTTTTCCTCAACAGCTATGGAGTAGCAACTGTGGACTGAAGTTACGGTAAGGCTTTGTATGCATCTTCTTCTCAACAATTCATAGCATTCCTGGGCTTCTTGGTTCAATTTTAAAGACAAGAAAACTTCAGGCAGTGATGGCTCATGCCTATAATCCCAGCCCTTTGGGAGGCCGAGGTGGGTGGATCACTTGAAGTCAGCAGTTTGAGACCAGCCTGGCCAACATGGTGACACCCTGTCTCTACTAAAAATACAAAAATTACCCGGCCATGGTGGTGCACACTTGTGATCCCAACTACTTGGGAGGCTGAGGCCCAAGAATCACCTGAACCTGGGAGATGGAGGTTGCAGTGATTTGCGATCGTGCCACTGAACTCCAGCCTGGGCAACAGAGTGAGACTCTGTCTCAGAAAACAGACAAACAAACAAACCAACAACCGCAAGAAGACAAGAAAACTAAGGCTGAGTGATTAAGGTACCCTCACCCAAGGTCGCACAGCTAATAGGTAGCAGAAATGGAATCCCAACCTAGATCCATTTGAATCCGGAGTCATGTTCTCAGCTTTTGGCTGGGCGCGGTGGCTCACGCCTATAATCTCAGCACTTTGGGAGGCTGAGGCGGGTGGATCACGAGGTCAAGAGATCAAGACCATCCTGGTCAACAAGGTGAAACCCTGTCTCTACTAAAAATACAAAAATTAGCTGGGCATGGTGGTATGTGCCTGTAGTCCCAGCTACTTGGGAGGCTGAGGCAGGAGAATTGCTTGAACCCAGAAGGTGGAGGTTGCGGTGAGCCGAGATCGTGCCATTGCACTCCAGTCTGGGTAACAAGAGCGAAACTCTGTCTCAAAAAAATAATAGTTCTCAGCTTTTAAACTCCAATGACACCTTCTCAAGTAGAGTAGCCTCCCTTAAACAGAGGCATTCTCCGGGGTTCTGTGTTTATTCCTTTTTCTCCTCTCTGCCCCCATCTCTGCTGGGGCTCCTGCTCAGCTCCTGCAGTTAACTCCCTATGATATCTTCAGCCAAAATCTGTCCTCTGATGCTTGTTTCCAGCTGTCTTCACGCTATCTCCATTTGCATGTGACAAAGCCTCCTTGTAGAGGTGGGGATCGTGGACTCCCCAACTGCTGTTTCATTCCTGATGGTTGGCTAAAACCAGGAATTTTAGGAGTGGGCTTGTGACCTAATTCTGCCAGTAAGACATGACGGGGAAGATTGCTGGGGACATCTGGGAAAGGTTTTTCTCCCTCCTAAGAAGACACATGAAAAAATGGTTCCTCTTCTTGCTTTCAATGCTGCTCCTTGTAATACTGAAGTGGTGACAACTGTCTGCAGCCATGAGGAGAACCGATGTCAGGTCGAAGCTAGTAAGAGAAGGATGGAATTTGTGTGCTTACCAACAAGCTGATTGTACCTTATCTGGGACTGGAGCTCTCGACCATGTTGAATATTAGTAAGACATTTCCTCATGGTTTGTACAGGTATGTTGTGATGGTGGTGGTGGTGGTTACTTGCAGTCACAAGCATCCCAAATAACACACCAAATTCATCATATGTATAACTTAAGTCAATCTCTCCTCCTCTAAACAGCCTCTCTCCTCCTGTGACTCTATCTCTCTTAATAGCACTACGACTTACTCAGTGACCCAAGTTAGAAACCTGGGTATTATCCTTGACTCCCCGCCTCTGCCTTACCCATAGTGTCCAATCATGAATTAAGTCCAGCAGATTTTACTGCTGGAAATCTTTTCATTTGTTCCAGTAACCCTTTCCCTGTCTTTTCCAGTTATTTGCCATTTTTTACTGGTCTTCTGTTCTCTTTCTCACTCTGACCTAAGCTGCTACTATCTGCATTGTTCCTAAAGACATTTTAAAAATTCAATGTAAATTCTATAAATTCCCTGATTATAGTCTGTGAATAGGCCATCATTGTCTTTAAGATAAAATCCAACCATAGTCTGTGAATAGCCCACCATTGTCTTCAAGATAAAATCCAACCAATCAGGACGGTTCCTAAGATGCTTCAAGGCGGAGCTTACCTCTGGATGTTCACATCCCCCAATCCATGTGCACTCCAAGTTCCAGCACATGGGTTGCCTTGCAGTCCACAGGCCCTTCCCCTTGGTGTCACTGCATGTGCTGTGCCCTGCCCTGGGATGCCCTCTCTGACTTGTTTATCTGAGCCATCCATACTGGTTGGCCAGTATGTTCCTATGCACTTTTGGTTTGCCTCTCTTATAACATAGCAGGTAGGAGTTTCAGGCATGCCAGAAATATCTTTCCTTATTGTTCTCTCTCTCCTTAATTTTTATTTTGAACCCACATCCTGACTCAATTTCAGTGCTAACGGGGGTGTCTATCTGGTCTCAGGGCATGAGTTAATCACAGGTTGCCATAGAGATATCCCTAGTTTCCTCTTCATGGCCTCTTCAAGTCCAGGAGTCGTCTCGACAATGCCCACTCCAGGCTAGAGTTCCTGGAAGCTCTGCACAGTGGCATCTGCACAAACACAACCACTGCCACTCCTGCTCCAGGATCCAGCTGCCTTCCCAGATCCTTGTTTGTGGGCAGGCTCCCCCTGCTCTCCGGCCCACAGCCCCCTCTGCCTTATGAACTCTTCCTCTTCTCTCCTTCCCTGGTGCCTGGAGGAAGCACTCCCCTGCTTTTCCTTCTTCCAAACATTTGTCTACCCACGTTCCCCTACGAGGGACTTTGGGAGTTTAGAATCATGGATGAGGGAATGTGCTTCTCCTCTGCCACATAAGACGGAGCATCAACAGTCTGCTTGAGAAAGAGGAAAATCCTAGCAGACAAAAGAACATAGGGTGACAGTGACTGAGCGCCTGGCCACCTCCCTGTTCCATCACCTGCTTATATGCCTCTTTCTCCCAGACTGTGAGGCCTGCAGTGTCCGAGATCCTTATATTGTCAGCATGTGGTATCTGGCTCATAGTAGGTACTTCATAAATAGCTGTCAAGACTAAAAATAAAAGTAGGAAGAAGTCTGCTGACTCCTGAATGCATTCTGACAACTGTTTTCCTAGTTGTGTGACCTTGGGCAAGATACCCTACGTCTCTTCTGCTGGCAGGAGCAGCAGGGAGGAGAGGCTCTGAAGAGGAGGTGAGGGATGCAGTGCTCTTCTGAGCTTCCCCTTTTTCTCAGCCTTTTCAGATTCTGGCTCCATTTTACCATCTTCCCTTCATGCTTCAAGTGGCCCCAAACTTTTATATCAGTTGCCTCTCCACCTTGCATAGCTATTTTGTGTATAAATAGATTTTTGCCCTTCCGCCTCCAGATGGGCCCCTTTCCTTCCTTCAGTTAACAACTTTCAGGATTCTTGAGTTCCAAGGATTCGGGTTGTGATGAAGTACAAGGAACTGGAAATTCTGGTTGTGCCACACCCTGGTTGTGGGGTTGGATCAGTGTCTAAGTCTTAGTTTCCTCATCTGGAAGATAGGAACGATGATAACTGACTCACTAGTTCCTTCAGAGCCTGGGCTCTGGAGCCCAAGCTGCCTCGATTCAAGTTGCAGCACTTTCCAGATGTGTGACTCAGGGTAAATGACTTGCCTTTTCTGCTTCTTAGCTTCCTAACTTATAAAAGGGGCACTGTAATATAATCTACCTCATATGGTTATTGTTAATATTCATTGAGTTACTAGTTCATTAGTTAACACCTAAAGTGCTTAGCACCTTGCCTGAGTAAGCACTCCATATATGTTGGTTATTATTATCTCATAGGTAGCCTCTCTCTTGTTTTTGTTTTTGGGACAGGGTCTCACTCTGCTGCCCAGGTTGGAGTGCAGTAGCATGATCTTGGCTCACTGCAGCCTTGACCTCACTGGCTCAAGCGATCCTCCCACCTCAGCCTCCTGAGTAGCTAAGACTACAGGTAACACCACCATGTCTGGCGAATTTTTGTATCATCTCTAGAGTCAGGGTTTCGTCATGTTGGCCAGGCTAAATTTCCTTTTCTTATAGGGATACCAGTCAGATTGGGCTTACCCAAATGGCATTATTTTGACTTAATCACCTTTTTAAAGACCCTATCTTCCAATATAGTCACATTCTGAGGTAGCCAGGATTAGGGCTTCCATATATTGATTTGGGAGTGGGGGTGGGGACACAGTTCAGCTCATAACAATGTATACATAGACTCTAACATTATTACATGTTCCTGTAAGTCTCTTTCTTAACCTTACTCTTAATGAATGTCAGAATATTTAAGTTCTAGGGATTCCATTTGTGTCATAATAGGGAGAATCTGCAATCAGAAAAGCAGGTTTTGAAGACCAGGTAAAAAACCTGGTCAGTTGCAGGAATGAACTTGGGTGAGTTACATACCCTCCCAGTGTCCCTGGTAATTCATACAGCAGCAGCTGTGAGAGGCAACAATGTATGGGAAGGCCCTCTGTTTCTCCCTGCCCCCGGGTTTTTGCCTCTGAACTAAGACAATACCAGATGGACGGTCTTAACTCTTCATTCCATCTTCAACACTCTATGACTCTGACTCTAAGGGTGGAAATACAAGTATCAAGGACAAGCTGCTAGTAGCTGAGTAGAGTGGTGTGTGCCTGTAGTCCCAGATACTAGGGAGGCCAAAGCAAGAGGATCTCTTGAGCTCAAGTTCAAAACCAGCCTGGGAAAAATAGACCCCTGCCTCAAATATAACTTAATAATAATAATAAAAGAAAGAGCTGCTGGGGAAGCACTTTCTGGGCCCAGATCTTTAATAAACATTGCAGAACTCTAGTTACAGTGACTCACTGTAGTCCCAGCGCTTTGAGAGATGAGGCAGGTGAATTGCTTGAACCCAGGAGTTCAAGACCATCCTGGGCAAAAGGATGAAACCCTGTCTTTATAAAAAATACAAAAATTAGCCGGACATGGTGGTATGTACCTGTAGTTCCAGCTACTCGGGACACTGACGTGGGAGGATCACTTGTACCTGGGAGGTCACGGTTGCAGTGAGCTGACATCACACCCCTGTACTCTAACCCTGGCAACAGAGTGAGACCCTGTCTCAAAAAACAAACAACAATAATCACAATAACCACAAAAAGCAGAAAAAAAATTATGGAACAAATGAAGAAAATCATATCACAGGGAACCACTCACCTGCATATTCACATGGCCCAAACTAGAACAGGGCTGAAGTTCATCATTCATTACCTGGGCTCTGGCACGTGTGGCTGGACTGCTTTGGCAAAAACTCACAGGAAGACAGGCCCACAAACTAGGATTGAACAAAGGAAAGTCCCTGTCCCAACAAATATTACATTCTACTGGATGAACCAGGCACACACACATATACACACACACACACACACACACACACACTCCATCAGACAATGCCAGGTTATGCTAATGGTGTATAGAAAGATAAAGCAGGCTGACGGTGGCAGTGACTGGCAGTTATGCTATGTAAGATGTCCTAGTCAGGGAAGTCTTCCCTGAAGAAGAGGTGTTTAGCATCCACCTGTACCATGATAGCAATGGAACCGTGGGAATATCCGGGGGAGAACAGGAAGAAAGGCCCTGAGGAGGGGCCAGGTTTGGGAGGAAACAGCAAGAGACCTGGTGACCTAGAGCTGAGCTGGTGGTGAAGAAGCCAGGGTGGCTGAAGTTAGCAGGCCTTGAAGGCCAGGGTCAAGATCCTGGATTTTCATCTAAATGTCATGAAGGTCATCTGAGGAGTTTGAGCAAGTGAATCAACATCTTAAAAGGTTTATGTCTTGACTGTGGTTTTGAGAGAAGACTAAAGAATCATGGTAATCACAAAGTCAATGGCCAAATATTTCTTGCTGTCTACCTGCTGGGCACATGGTGGCTTCCTGTTCATGCTTCCTGTTGTGCAGAGTGGCCATGCGACTCTGTTGTGAGCACGAGTCACTGTGTCACTTCCCGGCTAGGCAGCTGGTTGCCAGAATGAGTGCCTCCAGAGCTCCTTTACGGACACCAAGGATGTTCAAACTGGATGCAGCTTAGAAAGCCTGGGTCTCTGTGCTGTTATCACAAAATACTCAAGACTGGGTAATTTATAAAGAACAGAAATTCATTGTCTTACAGTTCTGGAGGTGGGGAAGTCCAAGATCAAGGCGCTAGCATTTATTGAGGGCTGCTCTCTGCTTCCAGAGTGGCACCTTGAACACTGCATCCTCCAGAGGGGAGGAATGCTGTGTCTTCACATGGCAGAAGGCAGAAGGGCAAAGAGGATGAACTTCCTCCACCGTGCCCTTTTATAGCAGCATTAATCCATGCATGAAATTAGAGCCCTCATGACCTAAACACCTCTGCAAATGCCCTGCTTCCCAACATTGTTGCATTGGGAATTAAATTTCCAACACATGAAATGTGGGGGACACATTCAGACTATCACAGCCTAGGTCCAAAGAGTGAGGAGAGACAGGGTGGAAGTGTTGACATGCAGATATATGGCTTCAGCAAGAAATCCCTTTAATCACTTTGTTGGGATAAATCACGAGGATTTGGGAGTGCTACCACAGCATAATCAAGCATATCCTGACAGTACAGAGTGCAAGAAGGGAAGCCTAGAAGTTCTTCTCTTTTCGGTTAGGAGGCTGAGAAGTAATCCTAGGTTGAAGAGTGACAGCAATAGAGATAATGGAAAGTGGTCAGATTCAGGATATATACTGAAGGTCACGTGCAAAGGCTGGACTGATGTAGGGTATAAGAAAAAGAGAGAAGTCAGGCCGGGCGCGGTGGCTCACGCCTGCAATCCCAGCACTTTGGGAGGCAGAGGCGGGTGGATCACGAGGTCAAGGGATGGAGACCATCCTGGTCAACATGGTGAAACCCCGTCTCTACTAAAAATACAAAAAAATTAGCTGGGCATGGTGGCGCGTGCCTGTGATCCCAGCTACTCAGGATGCTGAGGCAGGAGAATTGCCTGAACCCAGGAGGCAGAGGTTGCGGTGAGCCGAGATCGCGCCATTGCACTCCAGCCTGGGTAACAAGAGTGAAACTCCATCTCAAAAAAAAGAAAAAAGAAAAAGAGAGAAGTCAAAAATAACTCCAAGGATTATGGCTGAATAATTGGGTAAACTGCTGAGAAGAAGAATACTCTGGAAAGGATAGGATTATTTGCAGTGCCAGGCACACAGCAAAGCTACAAAATGCTCACTCTTATGGTTATTACTTTAAGAGGGGAAGGAATATGGAATGTAGATGTGTGGGGAACTTTTCAATCCAGAGTTACTGAGATGTAACTTACATACAGTAAAATTTGCTTACCTTTTTTCAGAGACAGGTTCTTGTTCCATCTCTCAGGTTGCAGTGCAGTGGCCTGATCATAGTTCACTGCAGCCTCGAACTTCTAGGCTCAAGCAATCTCCCTGCCTCAGCCTCCTAAGCAGCAAAATCTATTCTTTTTGGTATGCAGGTTTGAGTTTTGACAAATGCATTCTATCTTGTAAGCCCCGCCATGGTTAAGATGTAGACAATTTCCACTCTCCACATTCTTTTTTGCTGCCACTTCTTTGTAGTCAAATCTTCCCTCCACCCCAACCCCTGGCAACCACTGATCTGTCCTCTATCCGTTTAATTTTGCCTTTTCCAGAAAGTTATGTAAATGGAACCACACAGTATGTGACCTTTTGAGACTGGGTTTTTTCACTTAGGATGATGTATTTGAGATTCATCCACGTTGCATAGGTCAGTAATGTGTTCCTTTTAATTGATGAGTAGTATTCCATGGAACAAATGTGCCACAATTTGTTTATCATATTGCCAGCTAAAGGGCATTTGGGTTGTTTCCAAGTTTTGGTGATTATGAATAAAGATGCTATAAATATCTGAGAACAGGTTTTTATGTGAACATATGTCTTCATTTCTTTTGGTAAATCCCTAGGAGTGGGATTGCTGGCTCATATGGTAAGTGTATGTTTAACTTTATAAGAAACTGCCAAGCCAAACTGTTTTTCCAGAGGAACTGTACCATATTGCACTCCCACTGGCAATGTGTGAGGGTCACCACATCCTCCTCAGCACTTGAGATTGTCAGGTGTTTTTTTTTTTTTTTTCCATTCTGATGTGCAGTGATGTCTCTTTGTGGTTTTAATTTGCATTTCCCTAATGAATAATGATGCTGAGCATCTTTTCATGTACTTTTTGTGCATTTGCACATCTTTTGGTGGAATGTCCACTCACATCTCTTGCTCATGTTTTCATTAGGTGGCTTGTCTTCTTATCACACAGTAAAAGCTCTTCATATATTCTGGATATAAGTCCAGATGTGTGTGTTGCAAATTATTTTCTCTATCTTTGATTTGTCCTTTCATATTCTTAACAGTGTCTTTCAGAGAGCAGAAGTTTTTAACTTGATGGTGTAGAAGCTATCAACTTTTTCTTTTATGGATCATGCTTTTTGTTTCACATCTAGGAAACCTTTGCCTACCCAAGGCCACAAAGATTTTCTCTCATGTCTTCTTCCAGACATTTTATAGGTTTAGGTTTTACATGTTGCTATATGATAGAGTTTGAGTTACTTTTTGTCTGTAGTGCGATATATAAACCAGGACAATTTTGACTTGTGATA